GTGCAACAACATTATTCAAGATAAAAGAAGTCTGATTCGGGAAAATTAGGAATATCAGAAAGCCAATCCTGACTGTGACAAAAGGAGGAGCTGGGGATGGAGAAGGGTACTTTGCTCCTGAACAAGCGATAAAGCTGCTGAATAATACTGAATAGACTTTATATAGGATGATCTTAAGTATATGGGTTAAGTATGCAACACCAGAAGAATGTATTAAATTATTTAATAATTTAAATGGATTTCAGGGAACAAAGAAAAGGAAAAAAAGAACAAGATTTCTGTCAGGACCACTATCGTCAAAAATGATTGACACTTAGCATACAGTTTGGATTAGCAGTGTGGTTCTGTTCTGGGCAAAAACTCCATCCATGCAGCCTGTCATGAATGAGCAGGGAGAGCAGCAATAACCCCCTTAGGGTAAACAGAACTGAACCAAAATGTAGCAGATATCATTCATGTTCTTAATGACATTTTAGTGCAACAACATTATTCAAGATAAAAGAAGTCTGATTCGGGAAAATTAGGAATATCAGAAAGCCAATCCTGACTGTGACAAAAGGAGGAGCTGGGGAAGGAGAAGGGTACTTTGCTCCTGAGCAAGCGATAAAGCTGCTGAATAATACTGAATAGACTTTATATAGGAATGTAGTGAAAGGCGTTGTATTCCTATAGGTAGACGTGGATCAGAGCGTCAGCTTATGCAAGCTTGACTCATGTGACCTGCCAGAACTAACACTACACTTTTTTTTTACTAACAATATTTTATGTTAAAACATGCACACATTTACTCTTATTCAAATGCATAATATGTAGAAAATGCAAAACAGCAAAATGTTTTTTTGCTGTTTTGCTGAATGTTGTCCCATCACATTCAGTTATAAATTACATGAATTATGTAAATTACGATTCAAAAAGGTTGAGTAGTTTGCATCCGCTTTTAATATCATTAATGTCATTATATGATTACTCATTAATTAATCATAAAAATGAAAGATATCTGAGCAAGTTATTTTATATTGTATATCAATGCCAAGATTTAAAATGTCAGCAGACATTGAAACAGTCAACAAAGCTGGTTAATATTAATTCTGAAACTTCTGAAACCACAGTTCCAAATCAATTCAGAGTTTAACTCAGATTCATTAATAAATTAGCCTGATTTGTGAAGAAACTTTCTGAAGCATCAAAAGATTCTTCAAAAGTTCTGGTTTGTCTTGTTTTGTCCACTGAAAAAAATGAGCGCATGCAGATTTGGAAAGGCATGAGGTTGAGTAAATGATAACAGCATTTTATTTAAGAATTTTCTATAAACATATTTAAATAATTTCCTTTCTACTTTATATCTTCAATGTAGCTTGACGGTGATGATGCCAAGGCAACATTCGAAGAGGAGCCGGGAGTGGATGTGTATTCTGAAACTCAAATGCCGTTATAGATCATTTTTCTGGAACCAAATTAATTTTTCACAATCAGAGTCAGCAGAATTAGAGTGCAGCCAGCATATAAACATTTTGACAAAATGATACCCAACTTCAATCCCATTTTAATGCAACTGTGACAAATTCATTTTATTGATTTTTGTGTGTGTGTTGGGATTTTCTGTTAATTATTGTTATAATGGTCAATTACAGTTCTTACAAGATGACATGTCATCATGACATGCAAAATTTGGATGTACATACAAGTGCCTTTTATGAGGTCTTTAAAATCAGATAGGACCAGCACCTCACAAAGGTAAGATATTGTTCTTCATTACAAAGAAATATATATTTTTTAAATACTTTGTCTTGTTGGAGGAGTAGATTTGCTTTGTCCCTCTTATAAAGATGTATCAGTCTAGACATCATTGGGTGACTTAAACCTGAAGAATGCATTTCCTGAGGAATGTATGTATTTTATGCTGTCAGATAGCTCTACATCAAGCAACATGTTCAATCGTATTTCCTTTCCATGTTACAAGCAAATAAGACAAACAGCCAAAGTGACACTTCATAAATGTGAAATATTTAATATATATAATATATATATATATATATATATATAATAAATTCTGTAAAAATATGTCTGATAGTTTGTTGTTTTCCTGTATTGTCACCATCATAAAATGTTGTAACATATTGGAGCCTACAGTTGCCTTAACATTTCAGATGCGGTTCATCATTCTCGATGACAGACCAATTAATTTTTTATTGAAAATACCACAGTGTTGCGCAGCTTATTTATATGCCATATATGGTTATAAAAACATAGGAGCCTATGGCAGGGTTCTCTGATGATCGATAACATTTATAAGAGCTTTAAATCAGCATCTTTACATGTATGGCAGCCATTCCATTCCAAGTGTCTGTTGAATTCCAACACAAGCACACCTCATTCTGCTTAATGTATTTTTTTAAGTATTTTCTGCTTAAGTATTGATTAGGTGATCACCTCATCCATATCTTATTTAATGAGGGAAAGTACATCACTACCCTCTTGCAACAAGACCAGCTGGATGGCAAGAACAGTGCTAGTAGTACCTCGAAAGTAATTGGAATCAAATAATAACTATTGACCATGCCAAAATAATTGAAAAGAAAAGTTGTGAGTGAGGAAAAGAAGGGTTCAATTCTAGCTTTCCTGACAGAGGGATACAGTGAGCGTCAGGCTGCTTCCATCCTTAAAATTTCAAAGACAGAGGTTCATAAGAACAAGGTCAAGCTGCTGAGATTGGGGACAACAAAGCTACAGACCGGCAGAGGGCGAAAACAACTTTACACTGACCAGGATGACCGCCAACTCATTCAAATGTCACTTAACAACCGTATGACGACATCAAGTGACCTACAAAAAGAATGGCAAACGGCAGCTGGGGTGAAGTGCACAGTGAGGACGGTTCTGAAGTCAAAGTACAAAGCTAGAAAAGAAGACATCAATGAGAAGTAAAGAAGAGCCAGGCTGAGGTTTGCAAAAGACCATAAGGATTGGACCTGAATCCAGTTTAAATGTGAGAGCGACCTGGAGAGGCCTACAAGTCAAAGTGTCTCACACCCACAGGGTTATTCCACCCAATTTTGTTTCCTGAACTCTTCCTAAGTTAAAACATTAGTATTGTGTTGATTAAAAAAAAAAAATGAACTTGTTTTCTTTGCATTATGTGACGTCTGAAAACACGATGGTCACAAGCCATCATACAAAACTGAGCTGTTTGAATTTTTGCACCAGGAGTGGCATAAAGTCACCCAACAGCAACATGAAAGACTGGTGGAGAGGTTATTCCACCAAATATTTATATCTGAAATATTCCTAAGTTTAAACATTAGTATTGTGTTGTTTAAAAATGAATATGAACTTGTTTTCTTTGCATTATTTGAGGACTGAAAACACTGCATCTTTTTTGTTATTTTGACCAGTTGTCATTTTCTGCAAATAAATGCTCTAAATGACAATATGTTTATTTGAAATTTGGGAGAGATGTTGTCAGTAGTTTATAGAATAAAACAAAAATGTTGATTTTACTCAAACACATACCTATAAATATTAAAACCAAAGAAACTGATCATTTTGCAGTGGTCTCTTCATTTTTTTTTTCCAGAGCTGTATTTTCAATGTTTAAGAATAATTTTGAATCATAATATAATTTGTATTAATAATTTTTTCTATTTCTGTTTTCATTTCATTTTCCATTTTTTTTTCCAGATTTTTTTGGGGGGAGGGGGGTTTAGTTTTAGTTAAACTAGTTTAACTAAACTGAATGAAAATGAGAAATGTTGCTTTGACAACTAGCTGAAATAAAATAAGTTTTATGTTTGTTTGGTTTTTTTTCAGTTAATGCTTATTTTATTTCAAACAAATGTTTTTAATGGTTTTATTTTAGTTTCTGTCAACATTAAAGGGGTCATATGATGCGATTTCAAGTTTTCCTTTCTCTTTGGAGTGTTACAAGCTGATTGTGCATAGATAAGATCCCTGAAGTTGCAAAGACTAAAGTCTCAAA